ATGTGCAGAAATGTGAGAGACCTACCCATTTCAGTCTGCCCACACTCTAACATATGCTTTGAGAAACTATTTTATGCTAATTCTTACTCTAGGCATTGAGAATATGGAGGTATCTAAATTAGACAGAATTTTTGCCTTCATGGGATTTATATTTTAGACATGATGGTAGTGGTGATAAGGTGTGTGTTTTGTGTGTGTCTGCGTTTGGCAGATAATAGTTATGCGTGATATATGATAATGAGGTAAGGAGGGTATCACATAGCAAGTAGTTAAACAGAACAGTTTCTAAGCCCCTATTTGACTAGTGGTTCTGGCCACTTGGCATAACAGCAAGCACTAGAAAATGCAATTACACATCAAGGTAAGATCTCAGGAATTGCTTCCTGAGTAAAAGATTTTGCCTTGCAGATGGAAGTTAGCTAACTGCAGGAAAGGGGCTTTATACCTACAAGCCCTTTTGGGGTATTTGGGGTAGCCCAGTCGCAGCTAGAAGCTAGGATCAGGCAGAAAAGTTGTTGAATCATTAAACAATTTTAACCCAATTATAGAAATGGGTCTGGTAAAGGATAGGCGGGGAGGTAATCGCCTACTCTAAACCAGTGACAGTCTACTTGCATAACTTAATAAGGCTCCCCTTCAGGGAGATGTATGCAGGGTGAAAGAGAATGAGGAGGAGAAATCAATAATAGCTAAAGGATCAATTCCCAGTAACCCTGTCAAACTTGCACTGTTTTCCCTACTGCATTGACTCCCATAGGTCTTAATGCAGAGACTTTTGCGGTTAAGCCTATGGAACCTGATATACTGTTTTCTAAGCAGGGATTTGGCTGACTAATGCGAAGGGCAGCAGTGTAGACAAGTGAAGACTAAAAGGATGAGCAGGAAAATATCTCTTCGATCAGTAGTTGGGGGAATCTGAGAATTTGGACCCCCTGGACAGGGAGGGCCAACTGTAGTTTGTTTTCCATGTTTTACTGGCAAAAACGTTTAAACTTATATAAAGGTAGCAAAGTAACACAATGAACATCCGCATATACTCATCACCTAAATTCAGGAGTTCTTTTGCCTTAGTTTTTATTTTTAACCCTTTGAAAGATGTCTGTTTAAAGTACATTCCCCCACAGTAGGTGTCAGAAAATCATCAATGTGCAAATGACTAGTGATGAGATGAACCTTTCTATGGAAGATGCTAGATCTTTCCAGGTATGAAAGGTAGGATGGTAGCCCCCAATCCCTCTCTCTTCATCAAGGTTACAGCAAATAGGACTCTCTTTTGAATGGCTCTCCAAGAAGGAGATTCTCTGACGCTTTTACTCCCTCTGTTCTTCACCTACTCCTGGTGATGTTGAGGGGATTTTGGCACAATAATGTGATGGGTTTGTCAGGAGAGGTGCTCAGCACTGGCCAGGGAGATCCTGGTTCCTTTGTAGAAACTAACTTGGAAGAATCTGAGGAGATAAGGTGAAGAGTTTTCCTGGCTTTGACATTATGGAGCAAAGAGTAAGATAAGTCAGAATTCTGGAACAAGTACAGAGGGTACAGGTAAGGCAAGGAGGCCTTTGGTCACCCATCTGAGGACAGTCAGATGAGAGCTTTAAATGTTCCCCAGAACCACTTGTACCTTAGCAACTGCTATGGTCTTGTTGCTTAGCGCCATTTTCCTAAGAGTTGACTCTATCACAGCAATGATTCAGAAACTACTTTCATCTCATTAATAGAACGGATTTTTATTTTAAAATGCGTTTCCATACTCAAAATGGTTTGTGATTATGCAGCTTGACATTATCTCCGCTTCCTGTTTTCATGACTCTTTGTCTTTCACATGACCTTGACATTACCTTTCTGAAAGGTAATATGTCCCCTCTTAGGTCAATTATTCCAATAGCTTCCATTTAGAAAGAAGTTCATACCGCAGCCTAGCATGGGAGGACCTCTGGCTTATTGGCGTTGTCTTCTCCTCTTCTCTCAATTCCTGCCACTTTCTTCTTCACACTCTGCATTCCAACAATATTAAATGGGATGCTGATTGATACCAACATTACTTTTCCGGAAATTCCCCCAGAGTCCACAAAAGGTCACCCAAGTCTTCTTTAATATCATCTTTTTTGCAAAGGCATTTTTGATGCTGGTAGGCAGAACTATTCATATATCTTCTGTGCTATTACATATTTTGTACTTTTTAAAAATTTTACATTGTTTTGAAGTTGTTTTGGTTGCTTTTGTCTAATAAGAGCCATGAGACTTTTGAGGAAGATGCTGTGTCTTATTCAGTTTTATTCCTATGATGCTTGACATTTTTACTGGTAAATGGCATTTTGTATTAAACCGAACTTTTGATCAGAAACTGTGAGTAATCAAACTTTACTTATTGCAACATTTCTATATGCACCATACGGAGAAGGGTAACTCTGATAAGTAAATCATTTACCTTATTCTAAAGAAATTAAAACTATATCTTGTAAAATAAACATAAATATCAAATAAAATTGGCCCTAATAATCTGAAAGATGTGATGTTACACTTTGGGGCGAATATTGAGCATGGCACTTCACAAATTGTGGAGTGGACATCACACTAAAGTAAAAGGAAAAGCCCATGAGTATTTGAAATATGTTGGTATCTTGCTATAGCTGAATTACTGTATGAAGAACTAATGTGCCCTTAGGCATTTTTCTTAGAAATACAATCTTGAGATAAAATTCTCAGGAAACATACACTTAAAAACTTTCTTTTAAAAAAGCTGAAAGTGTTGACTATGCTGGTTATTTTCATTTACTTTAAACAATGTTGCTGGTATACACCATAGCAGTGGTGTTTCTTCCTTTTTTAAATACATTGGTTATGTATTTGAACAAATGATCCTACAAGAGCATCACATATCAGGATAAAGTTTATAAAGAGAAAAAACCACTTTATGATGAATTTGGGAGGCATGATAGACCAATTATTCAATTTTGGATACGTGAAAAACAATTTGGATTGTATAGTGAAAATGATGCTTCATGTTCAGTGGGTCTATTTTTTAGTGGAGTACTAAGAATGAATTTTGCTAGAGTATCCTTATTTTCTGACAGAGAAATATATATATTTTCTAGTCTTACATTAGAAGAGATGCCACTATGAGGTTCGCTCATTTAGCTCTTAAGTCTTGATACTCTTGGTAGTTCAGAGAACAAAAGAATTTGCATCACTCGGGAACTTTTTAGAAATATAGGATTTCCAGTACATTCCAAGGTTCTGAATCAGAGTTTGTTTTCAAATGAGATCCCCAGGTAATTCCTATGTTGATTAAAGTTTTAAAAACACTAAATTAACCTTAAATATACTGATCCATCCAATTCAGCTTTGCAGGTAATGTTCTTTATGATGCTTTTTGATTCAGAATCTAAGGTTTTATGTGAATGATGTTAAAGGAATTTATTTATGCTAGAAGAAACAAAACCCCTGTTACTCACAACCTATTATATCTCATATACTGTATTAGACAACAAGATATTTAATCCATCTAAGACTCTCTGAGACAAGGAACGCTACTTCCGTGTCTCTGGGCATGAAACCAGACTCCGGTTAAATACCTATTTATTCCACGCAGTCTATTCACTCAGGAAATGCTGAGCATCCCATCTTTGTATGTCCCTGAGTTAGGCCTGGAGATAAAATGAGCATGGTCCCTACCGACATGGAAGGTACAATATATTGTAATTAGACAAACGCTACGAAGTGTACGTTTCTAACAGGGGAACTTAAACTTTCAAAAGTTATTTGGGGAAACCTCCTAGTTGGGAAAAGATCTAAACTGATTTCCGAGGAACACATTTTTGTACAATTGGTACTGAAAAAAACAAACGCAAAAACCAGGTGAGTGTGCCATGGGGTCGAGCAAGGGGGACCGAGCAGCAGTTGAGGCTGGAACCTGGCCGGCATCCTGCAGAATTTGGTAGAACAAGGTGCAAATGTTGGAACCTGGCCCAGAGTGGGAGGAAGCCTTTGGAGGGCTTTCAGCTTGTCAGTGACAGGCCCTGATCCCCATTGGGATCGGTTCCGCAGTCAGACCCAGCGCGGCCCCGCGGGTGGGTGGGCGCTCGGGCCACTCCCCTAGGCTGCCTTTCTCCACCCAAGTCGCCGCCTCCCGCGTCTCAGCCTCACCGGCCGAGGGGGGTGGGAAATGAGAGAGAGGGGCGGGCGAAAGAAAAACACTCTCAAAATATATTGAAAAGAAAACATCCCCCAAGGCAGCGAGTGCGCGGGAAGTTCAGCGCGCGAGTTCCGGGCTTCCCGCCCGCCCCGCCGGCCGCACCCGGGTGAGCCCCCAGACCCTGCTCCGCGCAGCCCGCCGGGCCGCGTCGGTCCCCGCGTCCGCCCGTCCGTCCGCCTCCCCATCCCCCGTCCGCCTTTCCGGGGCCCGCGCGGGATCTGCGGGTCGGAGACTCTGGCGGGGTTCGGGGTGCCCGCAGCCCGCGTATTCCCGGCCGCAGCGCGTATCCCCGGCGCCCGCAGAACCCGGTCCCGAGCGGCCTCGGGGTCTGGCCGGGCCCCGCGCTGCGCGTCCGGGCCGCGGCCTCCAAGGCCACTTGTGGAGCTCCAGTCCCCGCGGCTGTAACTCTAAACCAACCGTTGTGAGGCCTATTTTTACTCAGAAACCAGCCCCCGGAGTGTCTGTGCAGAGCGCTGGGACCGAGGGCCAGCCCGCCACTTGAAGCTTTTGCGCACCCTGCCTGGGAAGGAACGTCTCTCCTGGCAGCCTCTCTCTGAGATTTGAAAGTTGTGTCGCAGCTTTCCAGGGAGGGCCTGCTTGCTGGTTGGTTGCTGGGGGGCCTTTGGATGAGCGTGTCGCCTGAGCCCGGGGGAGCTGTCCCTGAGCCCCATCTCTCCAGCTCTAAGCAGTGATCCCCAGGCCACCAGGCTGAGCCCGGGCCCAGGTGTGGCTTGGCCACCCCGCTGCAGCAATCTCCGCGAGAGCCCCTGGGGACAGGCGCTCGCAGTGTGTGGGGCACAGCAACATGAATGTAGAAGCCAAGTACCGCCAGGCCTCCCTGTATGTGGGTGACCTGCATGCAGACGTCACCGAGGACATGCTGTTCAGGAAGTTCAGCACCGTGGGGCCTGTGCTGTCCATCCGCATCTGCAGGGACCTGGTCACCCGCCGCTCCCTGGGCTATGCGTACGTGAACTTCCTGCACCTGGCCGATGCCCAGAAAGCCCTGGACACAATGAACTTTGACATGATACAAGGCAAATCCATCCGGCTCATGTGGTCTCAACGGGACGCCTACTTAAGGAAATCTGGCATCGGGAATGTGTTCATCAAGAATCTGGACAAATCCATTGATAACAAAATGCTTTATGAACATTTTTCAGCTTTTGGGAAGATCCTCTCCTCTAAGGTGATGAGCGACGACCAGGGCTCCAGGGGCTACGCATTCGTGCACTTTCAGAGCCAGACCTCCGCCGACCGGGCCATCGAGGAGATGAATGGGGCGCTGCTTAAGTCCTGTAGGCTCTTTGTTGGCCCCTTCAAAAACCGCAAAGATCGGGAGGCTGAGCTCCAGAATAAAGCACAGGAATTCACCAATGTTTACATCAAAAACTTCGGCGATGACATGGATGATGAGAGACTGAAGGAAGTTTTCAGCCAATACGGCAAAATCGTGAGCGTTAAGGTGATGACCGATTCCAGCGGGAAATCCAAAGGCTTTGGCTTTGTGAGTTTCGATACCCATGAGGCTGCCCAAAGGGCTGTTGAATATATGAACGGGAAGGACATAAGCGGACAGATGATTTTTGTAGGCCGGGCGCAAAAGAAAGCAGAGCGACAAGCCGAGTTAAAGCAAATGTTTGAGCAGCTGAAACGGGAAAGATTTGGGCGGTGCCGTGGGGTGAAGCTCTATATTAAGAATCTCGATGAGACCATCGATGAAGAAAAGCTGCGGCGGGAATTTTCTTCGTTTGGCTCAATTAGCAGAGTTAAGGTAATGCAGGAAGAAGGACGAAGCAAAGGGTTTGGCTTGATCTGCTTCTCCTCTCCCGAGGAGGCCGCTAAAGCGATGGCTGAGATGAATGGCCGGGTGCTGGGCGCCAAGGCCATCAACATCGCGCTGGCCCAGCGCGCCTAGGGCAGAAGGGCGCGCCTCGCCGGCACGTGCATGGGGCGCGCGGGAGTGATGGTGGTCTCTGCCTGCGGTGTCCTCAGTCGAGTTTAATTCCCACGTGATGTCTGCTTTGTAAACTTTGTGATGACAGGTTTCGTCTACAGAGCCTTTTTTTTTTCTTTTGAGGAAAAATAAATGAAGGTCGGTTTATTTTACAGAGGCACATCCTGTACAATATTGTAATTTTTTTCTTATTGTGATGTATTCATAGTGATAGGTAGACAGAGATGCATTTTCATTATACACTTTGAACCAGATGAAGTGAGGTAATTGAGTATAGTGTATGTTTTCTCTTATTTTAATAATATTGGTAGCTTTAGTTTCTTCTATGGAAATGTGCTCAAAATAGTTCTTTTACCTAAGGATGGCAAAGTAATTTATTTTTACAAACAAAAATGACCTGATTTCTTATTGTTGTTTTTTTTTAAGGATCCAAAAATGTCTAGTACACATTCAGTATCTAATTTTGTTTTGAATTAATGTTTAAAGTACTAGGAAATAGCTGAATTCCTTTTATATTTATATCCTGACCAAATTGGTTTTTTGATGGTTGAAATTAATGATGGAGATTTTCAGTGTTGCATACAAACCTGCTTTATAGGATATTTTGTTATTCTTTCCATTGTTTGACTGTAATTCAGTTGCTGCTAGTTATCAAAATTGTGACATGAATAGTAAAACCTTAACTTCTACATTCCTTAGGTTATAAACCTGTATCAATTTAAGCAACAAAAGTTGGCCTAGTCTTAGTTCTCTTCATACCTGTATAGCTTAATATTATGCCTTAAGTTTTTAGCAGATGCCCTATATTATAAAGTTCCTATATATAGAACATAGAAATTATGCTTAACAACTGTGTTTGTTAAGTGTCTGTTTTATACTATTCCATGTAGTGATATTGTCTCAGGATTCAGAAAAGTAAAAGTTACTTTATTTTTATGAACTTTTGTCTCCCTTTATTAGACCATGAGAGCTATGGAACCTATTAAATTTAATTTTTAGCCTTGATTGATCAGAAGTTCACTAGTTGATTTTCTGACAAATTGATATTATATCAGCCTGTTTTCTAGCATAATTTTTATTTTAGTTCCATTTCCAGACTTTTCCTTCTTTCCTGCCTTTTGTCTATATCACTTAGCTTTTGTATACCTTTTAAAAGGGCTTTATTGTATTGATTATTGCTATATGTTGTTTGAAATCCACTTTAAAAATAGAGGTAAAAGTTATTTATTTACATTTAAATAATTACTTTTAAATTCTAACTTGCTCATACCAAAGGTGTCTAGAAAATAGTTTTGTTATTGTTGCTGTTTTATTTTTTAATCTGCTTAGTTATTTTCTGTAACCATGTAGTCAAATCTTCTGTTCATACATTAGCAGTACAAAGGAAATATTAAAAATTTTGACAGTGCTTTAGCTATGAAAGAATGAGAAACAACTGTTTATTTTTATATAAATTGTATGTATAGTAATCACACATTCTAAATTAAAACCTCTTCTAGACAATGAAAAAAATCATAGACAAAACAATTATAGCAACATATAATCCTATCATGCAGATAGATCTGTTAAAAATTTATTGCATTTCCTCCCTTTTTTTCTATAGATATACACAAAAAGATAATTTAACAAAAATAGAATCACTTGAAATTGCTTTTTTAATTTAACAATATGTCACTGTCAACTTTCATGTCCACAAATAATTATTTGCTTATAATTTTAATAGCCTTTATTTTTAATTTAATATTTGTACCATAATATAGCAAATCCCTGTTGATAAATCTATGAGATGCTAGATTTTCTCCTCCTTTTATTTCCCTTTATTATAATCAGATTTTATATATCCTTGCACTCATGTATGCTGGTATATCCATTTATTTTCCTAAGAAAATGTATATTTCACTGGAATTAATTTTAAAAGAAAAGCAATTTAAAAATAATTTTGATAAATATTTGCACAACTGCTGTTCAGAAAATGCCACTTACATTCCCATTACTAGTGTGCTCTTATATACTCTGAGAGTAAGGGACGTCAAGTTGTGGGCTGGTTCAACATCATATATGAGATAAAGTATTGCATGGTTACTTTTACTGTTCAATTGCTACAAAGTTAAACAGCATTTCTTATATTTATTGGCCATTTATTTGTCTTTTCATATTCATGAGCTAATGTTTCATGATCTTAGTCTATTTTCCTGTTTTTTTTAAATTTATATGAATTTATTAGATTTCTTTAGATATTAAAAGGCAGAGTTTTAGACTTTTTTTCCTCAATATTCTCACTTTGTTTATAGTTTAAAAGGTCATTGCAGTTGAATATTTTAACTTCAAATTGTCAGTCTTTTACTTCGATATCTTTGATGCTGTTTCAGAACACTTTGAACACCGCAAATATGATTACCCCCTTACCCATGCAACGCTCTGTGTTGTTTCCTGTTACTTTCAGAGTTTCATATTCTCAGTATTTTATAAATAAAATTTTGCCTATAGAATAGCTTACCTACAAACTATAGTAAATCATTTTAAAGTATCTTGCTTTTCAATATTTACTAATATGTCTCAGTAGATACTGATCTATTGTAAAAATCTTTGTGAAACTTATATACCAACCCCGATTCATTAGTTCTATGAATCACTGTGTTGAGAAGTATTTACCACCAAAGCAGAGTTTTCAAGAAAGGATCCCAGGCAGCAGGATGGAAAGTGTAGTGTGTGTGTCAAGTCTCGACATCTCTTTCTGGATAATCCAGTCTATCAAAATGTTCAAATATTTGAACGATATTTCATAACGCTTACCATGGCCGGGTAGCTCAGTTGGTTAGAGCGTCACCCCGATGTGCCAAGTTGCGGGTTCAATCCTTAGTCAGGGCAGATATAAGAAGTAACCAATGAGTGCATAAATAAGTAGAACAATAAATCTCTCTCTCTCTCTCTCTCTCTCTCTCTCTGTGTCTCTCCAACCCCTCATTCCCCTACCCCTTCCTCTCTGTCTTGTCAAATGGATTACCAAAATAATGTCAGGGACCTGTGTTCTCTCTTATGTGCACAAGGGATTAATAGGACGTGATATCAGATGTCTAAGCTGAGTTAGAACCATAATTTCATGGCACAGTAATCTACCCTTTAGTAGAAATTGCTTATTTTTAATTATTAACCATAAGAAATAATTAAGTCAGCTTATAAAAATATGTGATACTGTGGATGTTCTTGACTAATTTATTTAAATTCTGCTTATTCTAAATTGTGTGTGTGTGTGTGTGTGTGATAATATCAGGTTTTCCCAGTTGTTAGTAGAGGTTCGTTCTTTTAGGAAAATGTGATCTTTTTGTCCAAGTGCCTTGATTACGTGAGAAGAATCTTTGCTTTTCTGATAAGTGCTCTAGTGAAAGCTAGTGTGCGCAGAGATGCCTTGAGCTACTGCTTCTGCTGCTGCCTCCCTTCCCCTACATACATTGTCAAGTCTGTGGTGTGGACGCCTGCCTGCATGTACAGCCAATTCAATAAATGTGCCTTTTAACATTTTATTTTTAAATGGAAGTTTATTGTTGCGAAAAGTATACTATTTAAAGTGGTTTAGAATTTGTATTTTATGTTCTAAATATTTCTATGTGTCCATACTGAAAAGATCAAATAAAGTCTAATCTTCCAGTGGTAAAGACATGTCTGAAAATGAGTTTTACTTATTTACTTTTTAAGTGTTTCTAATTTTTTAAAGATCAGTTCTCTTAGGAGTAAACTGAAAACAACTTGCATTTTTCAATGACGGTACACATATTGCATGTTTTATAAGACCAGCTCTTATGAACTAGCGTTTCTTTTTTAAGTTACTCATAATCATGGAACCATGACTTAGAAGAACCACTAATATAGATCAAGTTTTCAATTGATATTTTAAAGAGACCTCTGAATTGAATTGTTGAAGTAAAATTATTGAGGATTTAGATTTAGCTTACTTGTATTTTATTTGGAAAATATGCTTCATGGTGTAATTTTTTAAAAGTAGATTAAAAACAGTAGGTAAAAAGAAAAATTGAAATCTACATTTTCAGGTAGAAGAAATTAAATAGCCCCAGGATAGCTTTGGCTTCATGTAACGGAAATTCCCAGCTCACATTAGAAAAGGGAATTTCACCTAAAATATTCAGACTTAAGCTCTCTTCTGGCGCAGTACATCGGGCCTTCAGTGCGGTATCCCTTGGAGTCCAGCTCTTCCCCCTCCACATCTTACCTTCGTCTTCAGGCAAATGGCAAGATGGTTACAGAGTTCGTCATCACATTGAGACGGCAACATTCAGGCAATGCCTTTCCTAGAAACCTCTTAACACGCTTCCCCCTCAGTTTTCATTGTCCATTATCGGTACAGGGGTTCAACAAGATCTGCCACAGAAGCTCAGAAGGGAGCCAACTACCCAAGTTCCATGCAGAATGGGCTCATGATAGGAAGAAACATGTATGCATGGGTGTAGGGATATTCATCCACTAAATTCTGGACTTTTAAAATTATTTCTAATTTTGAATTTCAGTGTTTAATATTTTCTTTTTTCTTTAACTTTTACTCACAAATAGATTTTAAAAGTATGTTTTCACCCGACAAATAGTTTTCAATACTTGAGTCAACCTGGTGATGTTCCTCTATCTCAAGTTGTACGATCATAGATGATACATTATGCAATATACTCTGCATAAAATTAAACTCATTTTGTTTGATGATGGGACTCATGTTTTACACATTTATATGCTCTATTAGTTCTAAAGTATATCTGAAAGGGTCAGGTTCAATTTAGTCACCCAAATGGGTTTCTGAAAAAATAATTATCAACATACTACAAATGGTCAAGAATGTTTCAAAGTAAATCCATGTTTAATAAAAAGTCATATACTTACAAAATGGCCCTGATATATAAAAAATAACCACAGAGATAAATTAATGGGTGCTCATTTTCTTTCCTAAAGGATTTATTATT